CCGGCGTCTACGGACTCTGCGTGCTGTACGTGCACACAGTGACACCACATGGGTGGACTAATCTCCATCTGTTCCATCTCGCTGCCTTTCTAGCCCGTGGGTGGACTAATCTCCATCTGTTCCATCTCGCTGCCTTTCTAGCCCGTGGGTGGACTAATCTCCATCTGTTCCATCTCGCTGCCTTTCTAGCCCGTGGGTGGACTAATCTCCATCTGTTCCATACCCCGTGAGTGGACTAATCTCCATCTGTTCCATCTCACTCCCTTCTACCCCGTGTGTGGACTAATCTCCATCTGTTCCATCTCGCTCCCTTCTACCCCGTGTGTGGACTAATCTCCATCTGTTCCATCTCACTCGCTTCTACCCCGTGTGTGGACTAACCTCCATCTGTTCCATCTCACTCGCTTCTACCCCGTGTGTGGACTAATCTCCATCTGTTCCATCTCACTCCCTTCTACCCCGTGTGTGGACTAATCTCCATCTGTTCCATCTCACTCCCTTCTACCCCGTGGGTGGACTAATCTCCATCTGTTCCATCTCACTCCCTTCTACCCCGTGTGTGGACTAATCTCCATCTGTTCCATCTCACTCGCTTCTACCCCGTGTGGACTAATCTCCATCTGTTCCATCTCACTCGCTTCTACCCCGTGTGTGGACTAATCTCCATCTGTTCCATCTCACTCGCTTCTACCCCATGTGTGGACTAATCTCCATCTGTTCCATCTCGCTCCATTCTACGGCGTGGGTGGACTAATCTCCATCTGTTCCATCTCGCTCCCTTCTACCCCGTGTGTGGACTAATCTCCATCTGTTCCATCTCGCTGCCTTTCTAGCCCGTGGGTGGACTAATCTCCATCTGTTCCATCTCACTCCCTTCTACCCCGTGTGTGGACTAATCTCCATCTGTTCCATCTCACTCCCTTCTACCCCGTGGGTGGACTAATCTCCATCTGTTCCATCTCACTCGCTTCTACCCCGTGTGTGGACTAATCTCCATCTGTTCCATCTCACTCGCTTCTACCCCATGTGTGGACTAATCTCCATCTGTTCCATCTCGCTCCATTCTACGGCGTGGGTGGACTAATCTCCATCTGTTCCATCTCGCTCCCTTCTACCCCGTGTGTGGACTAATCTCCATCTGTTCCATCTCGCTGCCTTTCTAGCCCGTGTGTGGACTAATCTCCATCTGTTCCATCTCACTCCCTTCTACCCCGTGTGTGGACTAATCTCCATCTGTTCCATCTCACTCCCTTCTACCCCGTGGGTGGACTAATCTCCATCTGTTCCATCTCACTCGCTTCTACCCCGTGGGTAGACTAATCTCCATCTGTTCCATCTCGCTCCCTTCTACCCCGTGTGTGGACTAATCTCCATCTGTTCCATCTCGCTGCCTTTCTAGCCCGTGGGTGGACTAATTTCCATCTGTTCCATCTCACTCCCTTCTACCCCGTGTGTGGACTAATCTCCATCTGTTCCATCTCACTCCCTTCTACCCCGTGTGTGGACTAATCTCCATCTGTTCCATCTCACTCCCTTCTACCCCGTGGGTGGACTAATCTCCATCTGTTCCATCTCACTCCCTTCTACCCCGTGGGTGGACTAATCTCCATCTGTTCCATCTCACTCCCTTCTACCCCGTGTGTGGACTAATCTCCATCTGTTCCATCTCACTCGCTTCTACCCCATGTGTGGACTAATCTCCATCTGTTCCATCTCACTCCCTTCTATCCCGTGTGTGGACTAATCTCCATCTGTTCCATCTCACTCGCTTCTACCCCGTGTGTGGACTAATCTCCATCTGTTCCATCTCACTCCCTTCTACCCCGTGTGGACTAATCTCCATCTGTTCCATCTCACTCCTTTCTACACCGTGTGTGGACTAATCTCCATCTGTTCCATCTCACTCCCTTCTACCCCGTGGGTGGACTAATCTCCATCTGTTCCATCTCACTCCCTTCTACACCCGTGGGTGGACTAATCTCCATCTGTTCCATCTCACTCCCTTCTACCCCGTGGGTGGACTAATCTCCATCTGTTCCATACCCCGTGAGTGGACTAATCTCCATCTGTTCCATCTCGCTGCCTTTCTAGCCCGTGTGTGGACTAATCTCCATCCGTTCCATCTCACTCCATTCTACGGTGTGGGTGGACTAATCTCCATCTGTTCCATCTCGCTCCCTTCTACCCCGTGGGTGGACTAATCTCCATCTGTTCCATCTCACTCCCTTCTACCCCGTGGGTGGACTAATCTCCATCTGTTCCATACCCCGTGAGTGGACTAATCTCCATCTGTTCCATCTCACTCCCTTCTACCCCGTGTGTGGACTAATCTCCATCTGTTCCATCTCACTCCCTTCTACCACGTGGGTGGACTAATCTCCATCTGTTCCATCACACCCTGTGTGTATTCTGTGTGTGTGTGTTCTGTGTTTGTATTCTGTGTGTGTGCATTCCGTGTGTGTGTTCTGTGTATGTATTCTGTGTATGTGTATTATTGTGTGTGTATTCTGGGTGTGTTCTGTGTGTGTATATTCTCTGTGTGTGTGTATTATGTGTGTGTGTATTCTCTGTTTGTGTGTTCTGTGTGTGTGTCTGTGTATTCTGTGTGTGTGTATTCTGTGTGTATGTATTGTGTGTGTATTCTGTGTGTGTGTATTCTATGTGTGTGTTTGTGTTCTGTGTGTGTGCGTACTCCGTGTGTGTGTATTCTGTCTGTGTGTATTCTGTGTGTGTGTATTATGTATGTGTTTTCTGTGTGTATTCTGTGTGTTTGTGTTCTGTGTGTTTGTGCATTCTGTGTCTGTGTGTGGTGTGTGTGTGTATTCTGTGTGTGTGTGTATTGTGTGTGTGTCTATTCTGTGTTTGTGTATTCTGTGTGTGTGTATTGTATGTGTGTATTCTGTGTGTATGTGTGTGTGTGTATTCTGTGTGTGTGTGTTCTGTGTGTGTATTCTGTGTGTGTTTATTCTGTGTGTGTGTATTCTGTGTATGTGTGTGTGTACTCTGTGTGTGTGTATTCTGTGTTTGTGTTTTCTGTGTGTGTATATTCTGTGTGTGTATTCTGTGTGTGTCTTTGTGTGTATTCTGTGTGTGTGTGTATTCTGTGTGTGTGTGTATTGTGTGTGTGTCTATTCTGTGTTTGTGTATTCTGTGTGTGTATTGTGTGTGTGTGTATTCTGTGTGTATGTGTGTGTGTGTATTCTGTGTGTGTGTGTTCTGTGTGTGTATTCTGTGTGTGTTTATTCTGTGTGTGTGTATTCTGTGTATGTGTGTGTGTACTCTGTGTGTGTGTGTATTCTGTGTTTGTGTTTTCTGTGTGTGTATATTCTGTGTGTGTATTCTGTGTGTGTCTTTGTGTGTATTCTGTGTGTGTGTGTATTCTGTGTGTGTGTGTATTGTGTGTGTGTCTATTCTGTGTTTGTGTATTCTGTGTGTGTGTATTGTGTGTGTGTGTATTCTGTGTGTATGTGTGTGTGTGTATTCTGTGTGTGTGTGTTCTGTGTGTGTATTCTGTGTGTGTTTATTCTGTGTGTGTATTCTGTGTATGTGTGTGTGTACTCTGTGTGTGTGTGTATTCTGTGTTTGTGTTTTCTGTGTGTATATATTCTGTGTGTGTATTCTGTGTGTGTCTTTGTGTGTATTCTGTGTGTGTCTTTGTGTGTATTCTGTGTGTGTGTGTGTATTCTGTGTGTGTGTATTGTGTGTGTGTCTATTCTGTGTTTGTGTATTCTGTGTGTGTGTATTGTGTGTGTGTGTATTCTGTGTGTATGTGTGTGTGTGTATTCTGTGTGTGTGTGTTCTGTGTGTGTATTCTGTGTGTGTTTATTCTGTGTGTGTATTCTGTGTATGTGTGTGTGTACTCTGTGTGTGTGTGTATTCTGTGTTTGTGTTTTATGTGTGTGTATATTCTGTGTGTGTATTCTGTGTGTGTCTTTGTGTGTATTCTGTGTGTGTGTTTAGGCATCAGAACGTGGTTCACAGCTACAGGATTCTGCCGGATGAAGATGGAATGCTCGCGGTTCAGGTCACCTACTCACCCACCCACTCACCCACTCACTCCCTCACCCACTCACTCACTCACTCACCCACTCACTCACCCCCACTCA